ACTTTTAGAGACTGTTCACGCCTCGGTTTTAAACTAGTTTTTTTTTTTTTTCCTCCCTCTTCTGAACAGACAATGGACAAAAGAAAAGTAGCAACCCACATGGAGAGTTTCCTTTTGAATTGCTAGAATTAGATACACTATCCAGCTCTCCACTTGCTAAGTATACTTTTTAGTTTCCCATTGTATATTATCTAGGAATCGATTTAAATAACTTAAACTGTGTCTCTTCTCAGTGCTCGATTTCTGGAATATGTTAAATATCTTAATTTATATTTAAAGGATTATGGGAAGGCCCTGATTTTTATTTTGTGAAATTAATTTAAGCCGCCTTTGCAGTGGGCAGTACCTTTCTAAGGGTTTGTTATTTCTCCCCAATTCTCTTAAGTAAGAGGTGGGAATATTCGTCATATGTAGTAATCAATAGGGAAAAAAATACCTCTTCTTATTTCCTCACAGATCTGTTCTAACGATGACAAAAATCTTAGTGTGACCTTAGCAGCATGGGTACGTGATTTATCCCAGTTATAATTACACTTAGATTGCAGTAATGTGTAAGTACTGGTAATTCCTATTTCAGAAATCACTTGAGTAGTGATTTTGTGAAGTTGATTCCTTTCCCCCCCCCCCCCCGCCCCCCAGCCCCGGGAGTACATCTGTCTGCAGTGTTTTTGTCTTGCTGTTGCACAACAGAAGCCCTCTAGTCTTTACCCTAAAATGGCAGCTTTCATTTGACTGGGGCCCATTCATTGACAATGATAATAAAGGGGCTGAAAGCTAGATGCTTGGGCACGGAATAGGAATGGCTTGCCTTTCTAGGTGATAAGTAGGAGACATTTTAAGTCTTCCAGTTTGCTCATGAAAAGTTCATTTTCCCTGAAAAACTACTGTAGGAAAAAGTTACAAAGTAGATGAGAGCTTGGAAATGGAAAAGGGCTTAACCAGGAAAATTCAGGCGTTAATTTAAAAAAAATTTTGTTCAATTGTGGAAATATGGCATTCTCCTTTTTTTATTTTTTAGTAATCTGATTAAGGAACTTAATGGGTTTTTGTCAGGCTTTTAACAGGTAAATTTCCTCAGTATGACACTCAGGTATTAAGATTGTTTTCTAGCACTGCAGGTTCTATTATTTATATTCTCTTGATATTTTCTACTTTTCCTTCCACAGTGCACATCACTGAATTAAAGTTTGATGAATTCTGTCCTAGGTTTATGCTTTCAAGATTCAACTGTTTCTAGATAAATGAATTATTTTAAAAGAAACTGGCATGTAAATTCTAAACTATAGTTATTACTGGTTTAATCAGTGGAATTATTTTTAAATTAGTCAAATAATTCCTCATGCAAGTCTTAACATGGAAGGCAGAATAGAGAAATGTAAAGATGATATAGATGATGGTTTAAAATCCAAACAGTATTTTCCTCTTTGAAGGAAAAAACACCTAACATACTTTCCCCCCAAGTTGAAAACATGGAGTCAAATTTAAAATGATGTAATCAGGAACTTAAGTTTTTAAAAGTTTAGTACTTGCATTGATTCACCTGGACTTTGTCTATTTTTTAATCATTTTGCCTTACGGGGACATTTCCAAACTTTTTCTATAATGAGCGTCTTCTCTGTTAGCCTTTTACTAAGGGGAAGTGAACATGGGCGAAATACCTTTATAATACTAAATATCAAGGAAACTTTATAATCTTTTCTTCACATAGATGCAAAGTCAATAATTAAATACTTGCAATTTTTAAGCAGTTAGGTCAAAAGAACAAGAGTATTTTCATTTGAGTACCTGGTGATTTATAGAGCAAGTTCAGGGTTGTTCTTTGTAAATAGGATTGTAACCTTTTTACTCATGGTGATAAAGTTCCCTTGCTATCCAGTCACCATTCATTTAGTTAATTGTCACTTAGCAAACCTTCACATATAAACAGTGAGGCAGTCCTTACCCTCAGTGAGTTTACCATCTGGTAGGAGAGAGACTTTTTTCCTGCAGCTAGGCAAATACTCGACTTTGACTCTTAGATGAAATTTGGAGGCAGGAGTTAATCTTTCATCCTTCATTAGCAGAATATAGCTTTTTGAGTTGGATAGCAGACACCATGGCTGTGTTATAAACATCTACTATACATAAGGCATTGCAAGAATGAAAATGCTAGTCAGGGCTAAGCAAAAATGGCTCTTAAAACTTCATCTTTGTAAAAATGTGATTCACTTCCAGAATTCAAACGATTTCTACATGTAAAACATATATATCTGTGTGTGTATTGCATAGTTAAGTTCACTACATTCACTAAAAGGATAGACAAGGAACATTTTTTGGGTGATAATTGTGGTGATATCAGGAACATTAGTGCTTTGTGTAACTCTGAATTGTCTTACAATGGACACATTTATGTATCTTTTAAAAGTGTCATTCAAAAGTTAGAATTTAGCATTCTGTCAACAGGTTTCTGAAATCTGTTAAGGTTTAGTTTGGGAGAAAACCAGTCCTCTTTCTTCAGAAAACTATTACTCTCCTAAAAATCTTTGACATTCAAAGATAACTGATGATGTTAAAATATAAAAAAATTGGGAGCAAATGACCACTTAGTTTTCTACAAAACATAAAAATGGAGTAATTTATTTCAAATATCACTCGTTGCAATTATGGCAAAAGTTCATAGCTGATTGTGATCATAGTAAAGAGCAGAATGTAATTAAAAACACTTGTTACTGTTCTGTTTTACTTTTGTCAATATTTCAAATAAAATCATACCTATATGATAGACATAATAGTGGAAATCATGATATTGTCAAATGGAAATCAATTTTATAATCTAAAATTTTATAATTTTAGAGTCTGGATGTCTAGAGGGGGAAGATCCTAAGAGCCAGTTGCACTTTCTCACTTTACAGATTAAGAAAGTAGAGCCCAGAGAGATGAATTAAAGGCATTGCCTTTCGCTAGTCACCCTGTTCCTGCAGTGCTTACCATGGTCACAATCCTCTTCCTAGTGCCTAGCAGGATGCCATGCACTGGGTCTTTGTTGGATGACTGAGCTGGCTCTGGGAGGGTCTAACTCTTCCTCATGTAATGACTCAAAAGTACATTCTGGCTGTACAATCCAGCATATGAGAGCATAGCTTTTAAAGGTGTTCTTCAAATAACAATTTGCTTCTACTGTTCTACTGTGTTTGGTGTTTTCTACCTTTTTTTTTTTTTTTTAAACCTGATTATCTAGAAAAATGCAGAGATAATTATTCCAACATTTGATTACTGTTTATTGTTTTCAGTTTAGAAGTGTGTATTCATTACCATAACTGGATTCCTGTACATTTTAACTAATGTTAGGCCACTGCAAACATGACTGTTTTCTCAGAGAAGTAGTTTTGGGGGAGTCTTTTGTTTTTACTTTGGAAATTAAAAACATCCTTTTTAAAAATAAAAAAAAAGTAGGCTACTTTTGAAGAAACAGAACTTGGTGGGAAAAGGCTGATTGATTCTCAGGGCTGTTTGCGTATGCTAATGTGGAATCAGACACTTTTTTTAGTGGCCCTTTGAGCCTCATACTACCAGTGTAGACTCAGGCTTGTCTTTCTTGGCAAGTGAATCTGGATTCCCATTAGTTTTCCTATTTATTGGGTACCTGCTACCAGAAAGGTGTGATGGTATGAATGGGGAACATAGTGGTGACAAGAGAAAATTTGGTAGGCCTACCAAAACAAACAAACAAACAAACAAACGCTGCTGCAAGGTTGTAGATGTTGTGCAGTGGATGCTGGCAAGATTGAGAGCCTACAACTTTGGGAATCAACAACTTGTGTGGAGCCTTACCCCTTAGAATATGGCTTTCCACACCACACAAGAGTAGAACTGTTGTCAGTGGCAACTGACTTGAAAGCTGCATGTTTGAGGCCTTCACAGATCTTTGAGATGAGACCCAAGAAGCAGGCAGTATCCATTTTTGGCAGGATTTACAGGGTAAAAAATTTGAGAGTTTTAAAGAAAGCAGTAGAAGCCACTGAAAAGCATTAATTAAGCAATTTTGGTACTGGCAGAATTATGTTTTGAGGAAGACTGAGTTGGTGTGTGGGTGGAGAAAGGACTCTAGGCTGTGGACAATATCCTGCTTACTTTTGTCATGATTAATTGGATGGAGTAATAGCAGTGCTTTGGATTAGATTGTTGGCTTTGGTGATGGGAATGGACAGATTTTGAAAATATTTAGGAGTTTCAATGAATCAGACTTAAGGATAGATGTGTTTTGGGAGAGAAGAGTCTCGGGATGTAGGCTTGTAGCACATTGCTTGGCTGGCTGGTGATGCTATTCATGGAGGTAGGGAGCACTTGACAAGGATCAGATTTGAAGAAGATCATGAGTTCTTGGAGCATATGACTAAGATTACTGATACTGATAATGGACTGTGATACCACTGTTCTACCTTTCTTTCCATTACTAGTGACATTCCAAACTTTGCAAAAATAATCTACTAGTTTCCCCCAAAAATGTTAATTTAGTGTATGGTGAGTTTACCAGGGATCGCTAGTGAGCTCAGAGAAGTGGGAGAGCAGAGGGAAACATTGGTTTTGCCCGGTATGTAGCACTCTGCAGGGAGTTTGCTCATAGTAGGCAGAGCATAGAATTCTGTGGTAACCAGACCTTTCACATTTTGTTCTTCTGTATCTTCTCTCTGGAAGCAGCTTTTTGTTGCTAGTTACATATTCAGAGAAGTCCTTCTGCCTGAGGGAGATAGGTGGTGTGTGCCACTGTATTTACTTGAAGGGAGTTAATTGTGTTTTAGAAGATGATTACTGACCTACATAGGCATGGTAGAAATGAATACAACTATTTAAATAATTGTGGAGAAAAAGAACAGCCTGGGTCAGAATACGTCAGTTTAATACTTAAATTATCTTCAAAGCCACACCTCCAGCTCTAAAATTAAAAAAATTAAAAACTCTTTTAAGGTACCTTCTTTTGTTTGGTCTAGTCAGCAGTAATTTTTTTTTTTTTTGCTGGTGCTGGAGTTTGAACTCAGGCCCTTATACTTGCTCTGCAGGTACTCTACCTGCTCTACCAATTGAGCTATTTTGCCAGCCCTTTTTTGTGTTCAGTATTTTTGAGATAGGGTCTTTTGAACTGTTTGCCTAGGCTGGCCTTGAACTGCCTAATCTCTGTCTCCTGAGTAGCTAGGTTTACAGGTGTGAACCACCGGTGCATGGCCAGCAGTAGTTTTGTGATAGGATCTCAGTGGTCTTGAACTCACACAATCCTTCAGCCTCAGCCTCCCCAGTGCCAAGATTACAGATATGAACCACCACACCTGGCTCAGCACAATTTCAGAGATCATTTCTAACTGTGAAGTAGAAGTGCTAAATGGAAGGGTGCTTGTAGGCATTTATTGGAGGTATAAAGGGGATATTTATTTAGGAACTTGTTCCTTTCTTGGCTTTAGCATTGATCTAGAAGGCAGTAGAGGTCCTGTGGAGGATTTTAGTTTCCCACCTTGTATTTATTTTGTCAATACAAGGGTCAAGTAAAGCCTTGCTGCCACTGAGAGGGACTGCAGGTGATCTGTGCTTCCATTCGCCTCCTTTGTGTAGGCAAATGCAGGGAATTAGGTATGTGTGTTAGGATTGCCATGGCACCTACTCTTCCAGGTTTCTCAGTGTAAAACAGATTTCCACACAGCATTTGCGGTGTGTCTAATAAAAGGTATGTGATACCTCAGTGATTAACTTTCCTTCTGGAAAACTTTTCCTTCTGCAGCAGGTTTGGGGGACTACTTTAACTTTTTAGAGACTGCACCTTTGTCCCCTGTTCCTTGATAATCATTTTGAGAGAAACCATAAGCGTTTTAGAAATCTGTTGATATTTAAAATATAATTATAAATGTGCATATTATTTCAACACACCTAAAAACCATTAAATGTCATTAACATAACACAGCAGGTAAATAGTGAGAAATCCCTTGAAGAATTACAAGTATACTTTTAGTTTGCAAGGCAGTGCCTGCCAGTACCCTAAATGAATAATAAAATCAGTTTGAGCACAAATATTCAGTGAAAAATATGCCTTAGTTTGTGATGTTTTTTGAAGTATGTGGGCCTAGCAGTTACTTTATTCATGGGTAGGACTGGCATTGTATTGAAACTGTTAACTCTACATGCTAAGAATGAGCTTCAAAAAAAAGTATTGTGATAATATTCTTATGTACTTGACCTTGTTTGTGCTTGAAGTTTTCCTTTGACCAATTGCAGGTGTATTAATCCTGTCAGAAAAATCATGTAGACTCATCCTCAGAATTTTAGAATCTTGATTAAATTAAGAAACAGCACTCTGTGCCCCTAAAAGTGTATGGGTAATGAAGTTAAACAGTACACAGCTAATGAAACAGCTTTAAAGATAACAGTAATAACTATAATGATTGGCTAACAGTTGTTGAGCATTTCTGGTTGGGTAGGTAGTATGCTGAGTGGGATTTTTTGTTTGTTTGCTTTGTTTTGTTTTGGTACTTGGGACTGAACCTAGGACCTTATCCATGCTAAGCAGTCTCTGCCATTGAGTGACACCCCAGCCTCTGCTGAGTATTTCTGTGTATCTTTTAATTACTCATCAAACAACTCCAGGTATTAATGGAATTATTATCCCCATTTTACAAATGAGGAGACTGAGGGAGGAGAGGCTAAATTGCCATACAATTCTAGTAGGTGGTAGAGGAGGAATTTGTATCCACATTGGCCAGACTCCAGAATCTGCATGCATAACCTTCATGCTAATGTTGCTGCCCAGACCAGCTCTGAAACTTGCATCGATAAACAAAAGTGCTCTTAAAAGTACCATCAACACCTTGTAATCACATAGCATATTCTCTTGCTATAACCTATCAGCCCAGGTTATTTCTGTCCATCTGCCTCTGTTTGGGCTTGCTGTATTTGTGGGGTGTCTTGGAATCTAAAATGACCAAAGCCTGTGCCTTTTACCCTTACGACCCTTCCTCTGTCATGAAGATGAGACAGTTATTCTTGTGGAGGTCTTTTTTTTTGGTGGCTGACAACTTGAAAGTCTTAGATCAGAAATATCAGGGTGTGAATCATAAAAATGGAGATAATGATATCCAGAGAGAAGATTAAGTGGGGTACTCTGTCAGAAGCCTTTGGGACAGCATATGACATATTTATTGACCAAGTACTATTTTTATTAGCTGATTTACAATCATTGAACCTGTCAAACCGATGTATCTTGATTTTGTTTTTAATTAAAAAGTTTCTCAAACCATAATTGTAATTATAAGTAGACAAGAATGAGTGACTTGCAGTGGTGTTTGGCTGTACCATTTTCACTTTTATTCAGGAGTAGAGATTGGAAAATTAATATTTACATGTACCTTTGTCCAGCAGAATGATCAGCTATTATTTACTTGATCCTGTTGATTACACAGAGATGATTCAGATGTCCTTGGTTCTAAAAATGACAACTTTGAGGGAGCAGTTGTTCTTCTCTAGTTGTAAAGCTATTCTCTGCTCTTGAGTTACACCCATCTTTTTAGACAACAGGTCATTCCTTCTTTCCCCTAAATCTGCAATTCTTTAAATAATGGATGATGTTATCCTGGATGATCAGTAAGTTTTGAAATAATAGAATTTTCTGATTCTGGCAGAAACCACTTTGTTCCCAACACCTGTAGGAACTTCAGGTCCTCAAGTCTCAGGATACTTGACTCAGTTCTCATTTCCCAGCTTCTATTTACTGTTCAAGGAAGAGATGGTGGGATCTAAACCCAGAGTAAATTTGGGGTTGGAGTCTTGGATCTCAATGGAAGGTAGAACATGAGAAGGTTCCCATCTTCGGCAAAGGAAGATGCTAGGTAGCTTCCCAAGAATTCCACTGATGCTCAGCGGAATGGAACAGAAACAGAAGAGATAGCATGTAGAGAATTTTCATTTTATTTTGTTTTCACTTAAAAATGACTAAAGGAATCATAAAATAAGTGGGATGAAATGTAAACAATTGGTAAGTATGAATTTATGGGAGATACTTGTACTTTTCTTCTAACTCAAAGTTGAAATAGTGTCAAAATCAAAAGTTTTTAAAAAAGAATAGTAAGTTCAAGACATTGATCTTAATAGCTGATATTTATGGAGCATGGACTTTGTGCTAGTTGGCATTTTGTTAAGCTTTTTACACAAACTGCTCTCACTGAGTCCTGAAATAGGTATAGTCAAAACCATGAGGTAGGAATAATAATTGCCATTTTACAGGTGATGAAATGGAGTTTTAGAGATTGCTTTAAAAGAACACAGTTTTTAATGGTGTAGTTGACTTAAATCAGGACAGGCACATTTAATAACCTGTTGTATTAAGTGCTCTGTAGGAATTGCTTTTGGTGGTCTCATCAAAATAACCTAGTTTTTAGAGAGAAGGAAGAACCTAGATTGATATCTTCTACATCTGTGCTTTCTTAACAGCTCCTGGAGAGAAATTGAGAGGCTGAAAGTTGTCTATTAACGGATTATAGTCAGTGAGGCCCTTTTTCCTCAGATGCCATATCTTATCAGTTGCAAACACTTTCAAACTAAAAGACACATGCTCATTGCAAAATTTACTAGTGTGCCAGCCCTGTTCCCATTGATCAGTGCCAGACACAGCTTACTGCAGAATCGGTATTCTCAGAGTTTCTCCCCAGGGCTTATCCGAAGTCTGTTCACTTAGCATCTTGAACAGGGCTAGCGCAGCCTAGGATGCTACTTAGGTGCCCAGTTGCAGCGCTCTTCCTTGCATGTACATCAACTTGTGTGAATATACAACCTTCATGAAATACTTAGGCTTCTTCTGCTAACACACAAGACTACAGACCCTCTTTTATAATCATTCAGTCAATGACAATCATATGCCCCATAATGATATTTTGGTTAGTGAAGGACTGAATGGTAGTTCCATTTTATATTGCTAAAATTAAAAATGTATGTTATATAATATGTAATTATATCAATTATATTGCCTAGTATGTCATAGCCATCTTTGGATAATGACACTCTAGGTGACTTACACAATGATGACATCAACTGAGGAAGCAGTTGTTAGAACATATCCCTGTTACTAAGTAACACATGATTGTACTCCAGTAGGTGTAGAATCCAAATGTGTTTGTGACTCAGTAGACTTACATGTTATGGGGAAATACAGGTTTCTTTGCCAGGTGATTAAAAAAAAAAAGTGATAAAATCCCAAGTCTTAAATACTTTGCCTCATAGAAATAGTGTGTGATGATGTATCTCTGGATTTTGTGTATTATATATTTTTTCCTTCACCATTGAATTGATAGGTTGAGTTCATTGAGAAGTTTTTGTTATTTTCAGTGCACTTAAAATTTTAATCTTCAGTATATAAGAGGAAAAAACAATCCCCCCTAGATATTTCAATCTTTATCTGTGCATGGTGGCTCACACCTGTAATCCCAGCTATGAGGCTGGCAGAGATTGGGAGTATCACGGTTCAGGGCCAGCCTGGGCAAAAAGTTAGCAAAGACCCCCATCTCAACCAGCAAGCCGGATATGGTAGTAATGCCTGTGATGCTAGCTAGGTAGAAGAATCAAAGTCTGAGGCTGGCCATAGGCAAAAACATGACACCCTATCTAAAAAAAAATAACAAAAGTAAAAAAAGGGCTGAGTGTGTGGCTCAAGTGATGGAGCACCTGCCTAGCAAGCAAGAAACCATGAGTACAACCCCCTGCACCACCACAAAAATTATTAAAAAGAATGTATCTTATTGTGTTGGTTTTCAGTTATATGTATCACCATTTATGAAAAACAAAATTAAGCTGGTGTATGAAACAAGCCCCTGGTTTATACAGAATCCTGTGGCTAGTCTGGGAGGTAAAGAACCATTCCATTTAGCTGGTAGGATCCAGCAAAAACAAAACTTATGTCTTATACATTGTAAAATACATTAATAAGGACAAAATTTATTAAAATAGGTAATTTCCTGACACTGTTGAGCACACAGGTGGTGACACTGCTGTAGTTGAATTGCTTGGCTGGAAGGCTATGCCACAGTGCTCCAGTAGGGAAATTTGCATCTTAGCTGTTATCTGTCATCTCATTGTGGTGAAAGAAGGTGGATGGACACAAGCATCTCAGAAACTAAGGCCTGTTTCCAGCTAGTAGAATGGTTGACATTAGGGGACTGCTTGTCATTCATTTTCCACAGCTCAGGATTTTCAGAACTCAAGGAAAAGCTCATATCATTAGAATTATCTTTTATGGATCACTACACAATAATTACACTAATAATAATTCCTTTATTGGACAAACCTGTAAAATGACTTTTTACCTGCTCTTTATTGTGTGTGTGTGTTTTTTTTTTTCCTTTCTTTTTTTTCCTTTATTATTTTTTACCTGCTCTTTTACTTGCTTGGGCCACCTGGAATGTAGAGGTTTCCTTTCCTTGCATCTTAGCAGTGCAAGGTGGCCCTGGCCTCCTCAGTGACAGGTGCCAGCCTCTGCTTGGCCCCTCGCTGGGCTGGTTTTCAGCATGTGGGTGGGGAAGAGGAGGTAAGTTATTGTGTTGCCCCATTACCACATTCCTGGCATCTGATTGGAACATTGTTATCACTAGGTAGTTGTGAGACATTGTGGGTTAATCCAGTGCTATTGGAGGTTATCACAATAAATGGCCACATTATACTACTGTGTCAGAGGGAAAACTCAAACTAGCAGCTGAAGGCCTTCTGGGGGAGGAGCCACTTGCTGAAGTAAGGCTGGATTAAGGAGCTGTACTGCAGAGCAAGATGTCATTGCCATCGGGCCCATTTGGTGACACCCACATTGGGGCAGATACCTTCCTTGCAAGCAGTATTTCCTGAGTGGGTTTCAGAGAACTGGGCCTATTCAAGTTCACATAATTGTGAACCTTTACGGGGCTATGACCCTGTCAATAATAAGGACTTTACTGAATGCAAAGACTTGGCTCTTAAAGACAAGGAGAGAGTTCAGTAGTGTTCTCAGACTTACATCTCTAAAGAGCAAAGGGTGGTTTCTGTGTGAGGCTTATGATAACAAAATCTTTTTGGCTTTTGCAAGCATGAATCGAATGTGCCTGGTGAAAACTTAATTATTTTCAAAGACAAAGACAAGAATCATGATGTTCAGATCTTTAGGATGCTATATTTTTGAACGGGGGTGATATTGGGGTTTGAACTCAGGGCTTCACAATTGCTAGGCAGGTACTCTACTCCTTGAGCCACTCTGCCAGCTGGCTCTGGCTGATTTTTTTGGTATGACTTTACTGTTGGTGAAGGTGTGATGATACTTGTGGGAGACACTAAAACCTGCTCAGAAGTGTAGGTTAATATGTATGACCATGTGGAATGTGACAGCACAGTGTACAATTAAGTGTTAAGAAGGTCTAATGTAGTGTGGTCAGTGTGCTAATAGTGGAGAAAGCAATCAGGAAGGTGTGACTTGCCCTCTCTTTTTGATAGGATGGAGAAACAGCAGTAATGTGAGCAAAACCATCGCCAAGGGTCCTGGTGGAAAAAAGGCCAGTTCACAATGGCCTGCAGGTACCAAGACAGGAAGGAGCCCTTTATCCCAAGTGCTCTCTATGGGAATATGGCTTCACAGAAGCTGTGACTCTCTGGAGAACAATGCAGCCGCTGCCACACCTGCCCCTTCCTTCCAAACTTCAGTCTGAGGGCCTGTCTCCCATGGTTCAGGGAAGATTGAAGAGGATCAGGGTTGCAGGAGGATAAGGGCAATAGGTTTGGATAGGTAGGGAGATGTTGGGCTATGGTGAAATTGGAAGTTGAGACTGGGTGAGATCCATCACATAACTTAGGTTATGTGATGGAAATGTTGATGAAAGGTTAGTTTGGCAACATGTGACGGATTGCAGTTGAAGAGCAACTAGAGGCAAAAAGTCAGAGGCTGTTGAAATAGCCTAGCCAGGAGGTGGTGGAGCTTTGACATGGGCAGGAAAAATTGAGTGGGAGAGGAAGAGCTGTAGCCATGGTGGACACTGGCAGGAGCTGGGTTGGGTTTTGGGGGATAAATAGCTGGTCACTCTGGGGGCCTGGCCTGGTGTGGCTTGGAGTGGAGAATGGTATGTCAACATCTTCTGTGAGAGAGCACAGCTGAGAACAGTTGCAGTCCAATGGGAAAGTGTGAAGGATATTAGCAGGGATGCTATAGAAAGAAAACTTCTTTGTCAGTAAACACAAAAGATTGGAAATTATGTGAGTAATAAAAAAGCACAAATTAAGATAACTTTTTCTCTCTTACCAAACTGTGAAGATTTAAAAGATACTCTCTATTCTTCCAGAATATGATGAGACCAGCACCCTCATAGTTGCCTGAAGTTCAAAAAGACTGTATGGCATTCCAGTTGTGCTAGTCACCTATCTTGAGGAACAATCTGGAAGCCCATCAGCTGTTACAAGTAAGAAGTCACAGCGTTTCGTTTTGTACTGATGGTGAAAGACTGAGAATGGTTAAATTTACACTGTATTCTATCTTAGGATATCATGTAGGAATTACAAATCTTTTTAAAAAAACATAAAGCTTAAAAGAATAGAGTACATAATGATATATTAACTATGGATGTTTTGAATTTATACAAATTATAATCATAGGAAAAAATAGAGGCTGGGGGTATGACTCGTGGTAGAGCACTTCCCTGGCATGCACAAGTTCCTGGGTTCAATCCCCAGTACTATAACCCCCTCCAAAAAAAAGTTTCATTGATTGACCGCTTCACTTAGTTGATGGCTGTGATTCCAGAGTTAACTAGATCTGGTTTGCATCTCTACCCAATGCTTATTAGCTATGACTTTGGGCAAGTGACTTACTATCCTTTGATGATCACAGGCAAGTCATTTAATTTGAACTTCAGTTTCTTCAACTGTGTGCCATGGGACTGGTGACAGTACTTACAGGCAATGTGAATTAATGAAGTAATACATCTGAAACAATCCACACATACTGCTCTCAATGAGTGAAATTATTTAGATTGCAGATAGTTTTATTTTCATCTTTCTACTACTTTATATTTCCTAAATATTACACTGAAAGAATTGTAAAGTGTGAAAAGCTATCTGATACTTTGTATGAAAAGACTCATAATTTTTCGGTATTTTTGTGGTACGGGTAGGGGGAGGGTTTTTTTTTTTTTTAATTTTAAAGTAATTTTAACTAATTATGTACTTGAGACAAATACTTTCAACTTTTGCTTTCCTTTTGACTAGGTTGCTTGGCAGTGTTTAGATTATTTTTCCTGTCCCAAAGAAATTTTGTTCTGCAGTAAGCAGAATTTAAAAGAAACACTTTTAATTTTCTGAAGTCAGAGAAAACAAGACTCATTTTTTAAAAATATTCTATAGATAACATCTGCAAGTTTGAGACCCTGAATTCAAGCCCCAGTACTGCAAAATAAATATATAAGTAAATAAATTTGAATTTGGTTGATATTAACTGCACATTTAGCACTCAGATTTAAGATGGTTTAGTGCGGGCTTCTGTACGTCTCACTTAATTGTTTAAATATGTGAGCACGATTTTGATATTTGGAGGTGGAAGAGAAACCCCTTGAGACTTGTGAGCTTGATTTAAAAGGCTTATTGTGTCTTGACGTGAGTTGATGTAGGTTAGTAGGAAGACTTTGGCATCTGGAACTCTTTCACCTTGGAATTGTGTCTTTCTCACAGAAGAAACATTTGGACAGCACATAGCCTTAGAGAGACTTTCTCTAAGAAGGCTATTATTATTATTATTATTTTTTTTTTTCATGGGAGGGCAACATCTTTGCGCTTAAAAGAGCCTTAACATTTTTGTCTCAAATTAAGTTACCTTTTATTTACTCTCAGGCATTCTTTATCTATCTTCTATGGCAAAAAGAGGAGGATTAGAAAAGGAACAACAGTGAAAAATTGTCTCCTAAATTAATTATCAATGAATGGGTTAATGGTAACATAAAACTTGAAAACAAGAATCTGGAATATAAGTGAGTATATTTTATTTCTGTATTTCATTAAATGCAAGAGGGTATCAGTTGTAAGATGTATCCTGTTTCTGATAATGTTAAAACATGAAAAAAGACATAGAATTGATGAAATATAGTAATGAATTAAAAAAAAACCCTCAGTTTGCAGTTACTTTATTTTGCAGTTTTGTTCATGGAGTGAAAAGGAAACTTGCCTGAATGTGTCTGAAATTGGAACTTAAGCCTGTAGTAGTCTTGAGAGAAAAGTTGTTCCAGCTGCACCTCACTTAAATTACACCTGGTACCATCTGTACAGTGCTCCTGTGTCATACACAGCATAGATGGACTTGTGAGTCAAGGATTTTAACATGACCCTGCCTGGCTACCAGACCTAATGTGAGCAGAAAGTGGGCACCTTTTTTATAGTCTTAATCTGCCAGACTGCTGTCAACACATTGGGTACCATAAGAAGTGTTACCAAGACTGTTCCACAAGAGTGATCCAAAATGTATTAAAACTCACAATAAAATGTGAAATGTAGTGCCAAACATTTAAGGCTTAACTTGATGATGATCAAGTATTTGAGGCTAGTGCTTACATTGTACATATGCAAATTAGGAAAACAAGTGGTTCCTGTTCATAAGAAGTTAAAAACCTAATGAATCAGGAATTCCCTTCCCTTCCCTTCCCTTCCCTTCCCTTCCCTTTCCTTCCCTTTCCTCCCCTTCCCTTCCACTTCCCTCTCCCCTCCTTCTCCCCTTACTAGGGAGGCACTCTAGGCAGGCATTCTACCACTTGAGCCACATCCCCCAGCCCTTAAAATTTTCTTAAATGAGTAATTAGAGATTGCAGGAGGAAGTATGTCTTCAAGAATAGAGGCAAAGGCTCTGGAGCTAGATTACCTAAATTCAAAGCTTAGTTCTAGTGCTGTCTACCTTTGGAACCAGAGTAAGTTACCTCTGTACTTGTTTCCTTGCATATAAACAGGTCACTAATTGTCCCTTCCTTAGTGCCTGACATGTCCCAAGCTCTCATCAGACTGAGCAGTTATTGATACTGTTACAGTTGTTTTGTTTCTTTGTGAGAGAATATGCAAGTGAGAGGTGAAAAGATTTGCAGAGGTGTCTTTTTGTATGACTGTGGAGTTTTTAAATAGGATAAATAATACTGTTTTGGCATTATAATGAGCAGCATGCAGCTTGAGAGCAAGAAGATATTTAAAGTCTTTGAAAGAAAAGTTTGAAAGCATGTTTGTGGCATCCACCTATAGGGCCCTTTGCGCTAGCGTCTTGGTTAGTTTTCTGGATTTTCTCTTTTGTCATCTGGTTAAATATGATGTGGTTTCAACATGGAGGATGGATTCAGGTTATAACTCAGGTTATAATTCAGGTTATAAGTTTAGGGGCTGTGGTTTGTGTACCATAACAGGGCTTCTCTGTTTCATCTCCTAGATTTTTATATCTTAGGTGATAGAGCCAAATATTTTAATGTCACCAAAAATTATATGACCATCCCAATGAACTGAAACTTGATTTTGTAACAATTGTTTCTAGTTCCCTAGAGTAAGTTCTGTTTTATTATATTTCATATTTTTTGGTGGGACTGGGTTTGAACTCACGGCTTTGAACTGTCAAAGCAGATGCTCTACCCTTGAACCACACCTGCAGTCCATTTTGCTCTGGTCCATTTTCACAAGATGGGACCTCTTGAACTATTTGCCCAGGCTGGCCTCAAACCTCCATCTTCCCAATCAGCTAGGATTACAGGTGTGAGCCACTGGCACCCAGCATACCTTTTTTTTGAAGCCTGAAACTATCTGTCCTGCTGTTACCAGCTTTGTGTGTTTCTCTCTCCCTCACCCCCTGCTATGGAATATATCCTAATGCCATTATTTTCTTCCCTGGAGCTTCTACCTATTGTTGGATGAGGTAGAGGAGGACACGAGAAATTAGAGTCAGAAATAAGGCACTGACTTTACAGATCATCCCTTACATTGCACCTTCCCAGCTGCATAAAGGGTTAGATGAAGTGTTTTTCCTTCTTGATTGTTGTTATTGTTTGGTAGCTTCGGGTTGTTTCTATGGAAATACTTTAAATTCCAAAGCACCAAATTTCAAAAGTTCAGTAAGAATGAAATAATACTGAGTTAATACTTAATGATTGCTTGCCCTAGGCTTTTTGTAATCATATTGGTAGCTTTTTACCTTCCCAAATTGTGTCTGGGACATTTGTAGATGCTCACTATCTCAGAGCAGTCATGAGACCTGCCTGTGACTTTGAGGGAGTATGGAGCATGTCAATGGATGCTGTGTTGGCACTTGGACTGACCTCATGAGAACCAAACTGGGCAATGACAACCCACAGGAATCAGCACCACAGAATTAGGAGATTTCTTCGTTTGGCCCATTATGATGAGATGGTGTCACATCAAGTGACTGGATAGTTGTAGAAACTTATAAGTGTTGCCAGCTTGGGTGCTGGTCAGATACCTGTTTAACCAATCAAATGGTCCATAAATGTGAAGGGTCTGTCTGCTGTTGATAGCCATTGGAGGCAGTGTAACCAAACGGTTAAGAGCATAGGCTCTGGAGTCAGAACTTGGTTCTAATTTAGCTTGCTTACCCCCCACATGACCTTGGGAAAGCTACTTAAATTCTGAGAAGGAAACTAGTGCCTGATGGATGCATTCTAAGTGGAGTGATGAAGAAGACAATGATGAGGGCTGTGAGGCTTTGGCAAGCTTGTCATTCAGTGCACCAGAGTGAAGTACTTTTCAGAAGTGGGCTGGATTTATAGATTAGAGCAGTCTGTTTGCCTGAATTATGTCAGTATTTGAGCTCAGTGAGGTTTGTGAATATTATGTTTGGGCTAGAAAATAATCTGTGAAAATGAACACAGTACTCCAACATAAACTTGAGTTTATTTAGAATGTCGTATGCAATAGTAACAGGTACATAGTAGTTCAAGCATTTTTGGTGTAGATTGTAGGCAAAATGGAAAAAGAAGTCATAGTTAGGTAACACATCTTTAAAAGGAGGATCAACCAGTTAGTCATGATATGTGCAAGAAAGCACAGGTTATATGGTTCTGAGTACTCAGGTACTCAGGAAATGGTTTTCATGATGGAAGAGATTATGGTTCTGGGTGCCAGGCTTTTTCGTTCATATGTGTGCCTTCATTCATTGGTAAAAAGTCATACAATCTCCATAGCTTTATTTGAGGACCATCCCTTTCATTTTCCAAGTAAGCCTAAATTTCTTAAGGTAAAGTAGATTATTTTTCCTCTTTCTGTATTTCTTTGTGGTTACACTTGAATGTTTGGTTGGGTAATGGATAGAATTTACTCAATTTAAAGGGGAGTGTTTCTTACACAAAGATTATAGCTTCACATCTGTAATCATTACAGTGAGGACTATTTTATTGTATCAGATGTTTTTCTTTTGCTTAGCTTTCTGCACTAAGTAATGGGAATATTTCTTAATATAACATTTCTCTTGTAACAACTTCTTATCAAGCAATTACCATTTTCGAAGAGTGAATTTTATTTAGAAAGATGGGCTTGGGTGATGAGAAGACTGCTTGTATGAAAGGTATGTGGTTTAGCAGCAACTACATGTGAATTTGGGGAGTATTTTTAACCTGCCTGGGGCTTACTCTTAGGCAAGGCACCCATTACTGCCAAGGCCTGCTTAATTCTCCATGGGGATATTGTGTCTTGAGAAGGGTGGTTTTCAGCCCTGTTCTGGTCCTCACCTTCTAGTGTCATTCCCCACATGGGAGGTTGAAAGGGAGTTAAGACTTGTGCCCATGTAGTTTTTGGAGGCAGAACAAAATAAAGGAAAACTCTGGGCTTTAGAATTATTGAGAGCTTATTTTTCGTATCATCTCCACTTGTTAGCCTTGTGATTTGGGGAAAGAGTTAATTGTTTTGATTTCTGGTAGCTGTAAGAATGTCTGGGCTGATGTGAGTGTTGAGTGAAACACTTAGCATAGTGCCCTGGCCATACTGGCCATACTGAGCATGTAACCAAGTGTGGATTACTAGTTATCCCTTCTACTTTAATGCAAGTTTTCTCATGGATTATGAGCATATGATCTGGAAAATGCAAGATTTTCTTATTCCAGATACTTCTTTTTTTTTTTTTTTTAGGCTAGAAATCCCACCCTTTATTTTTTTTTCCTAATAGTTAGGTAAGTACAATTACATTCATATTACCTATTCTGTCTTGTTCTTGATTTAGTTTCTTCTTTTTAACTGGACTGTTCATTACAGCTTCATAAAACAAGTGAAATCCATGTGGTTTTCTAAGTTAGTGAAGCTTTTCATGCTAAGATCCTCTGGCAAAAAGTTTGTGAGAAGGTTGAGACTATGATTTTGGTTTTACACTTTCCTTTTTTTTATTGTGTTGGGGGTGCATTGTGACATTTACATAAGTTCTTTCAATATGTTTTAGTTGCATTCACCCCTCCATCATTCTCCTTTATCCCCCCTCCTCCCATTTGTTGTATATTTAAAAATAAATCCTTAAACCAGTCCTTTCTTTGCCGAAGTTTTTCAGTTGCTGGTGAATGAAATATGAAAGTGACAAGGAATTTGCTTATATTCATAGGGTCCTTGATCTCTTAGTGGGTTTTGTCAGTTATCTGGTGCTGTGTAACAAACCATCCTGAAACCAAGTGGCTTTAAACAACAGCCATCTATTTTGCTCACAGTTTTTTGGATTGACAATTTGGACTGGTCTCAGCTTGATTCCCTGCTGCTGGTGGTTGATGACTTCACTCTATTGGCTGGTGGCTAGCTGGGACTGTGTGTGTAAGTGTGTTTGTGTATGTGAGAGACACACATACACACACACACAGACATGGGTGGTGCGGTGTGTCTTTTGTTCCAGCAGATTGGCCTGGGCTTGTTAACATGGTGACAGGTGAGAGGGCATCCCCAGTGTTGCAGGCTCTCTGGCCTAAGCAAATCATATGACCAGGCAGCATGGGGTGTTCCAATGAGGTGTGGATAGATGGAG